GACATTCAAAGCCAATGAAACTAATTTTTTTTAAACTTTTTTTTTTAAAGATGACCGGTAAGGGGATCTGAACCCTTGACTTGGTGTTGTCAGCACCACACTCTCCCAAGTGAGCCACAGGCCGATGAAAGCCACTGATACTTTTGTTAAAAAACTTGGGAAGCAGAAATTTCACACTGGAAGGCCTCACAGCAAGACAGCCTGCCTATGAGTGAAGCCAATGGAGGGCAGCAGAGGTAAGATATGGTAGAGGAGTCCTGAGGACAGTATTGCAGCTCCTGGGTCTAGCTGTACCTGAAACTAGTTCACGCTACAGCTTTTTCAATAAATTCTCCTTTTCCTTCAAGTGATTCTGTGCAAGGCTTCGTGGCAGTCACACCCAAGAGTCTCAACTAACACACTGACCACAAAATGCAGAATTCCCTAGAAGACCTTGTCCTGTTGTCCTGTGTGATACTAACTGATTTCACTCATCTCTGAGATGTTAAAAATACAGGATCAATCACTGACTTTCATCTCATGAGCTCAACTGTCTCCTTGGCACCTGTATTAGTTTCCTATTGCTGCTCTAACAAATTGCCACAAACCCAGTGGCGCAAATTAACAGAAATTTATTATCGTATGGTTCTGGAGATCAGAAGTCTGGTATGTACCCTCGCTGGTCTAAAACCGAGGTGTCAGCAGGGCTGTGTTCCTTTTGGAACCTCTAGGGGAGAACCCATTACTTGCCTTTACCAGCTTCTAGAAGCCATCCAGAATATTTGGTTCATGGCCCCTTCCCTATATCATTACATCTGTCATTATGTCTCCATCTCTGACTTTGATCCTGACTCCTTCTCATAAGAATTTGTGATTACAACAGACCCACTCAATCCAGGATAATCTCCCCATTTCAAAATCCTTAATCACATCTGCAATCACATCCTTTTTGCCACGTAAGGTAACATATTCACAGGGTCCAGGAATTAGAGCATGGACACCCTTGGGAACAAGTATTCTGCCAATCACAGCACCACAGATTCAGTGCATCTGAAACAGAAAATTTGTGCTATTATCTGCCCCACTCCCTCCCCACACCTGCTTCTTCAGGAAGCCCTGTTCTCTTAGAATTCCACCACCCACCTGCAGGATTCCTTCCCTTTCCCCTCTTCAATCTCAAACATCAATCGTTCTCTCCCTCCAGAAACACCTAGGCACTCACTCATCAACAAGGAAAATGTAGGTGAGCAATGCAGTAGCATCCATGCTCCATGAAACTCAGCCTGACAAAGAAATCAAGTTTCCTGGAGACTCACTTCCAAATATACATCCCATATGTGTGTTCTCTCCCCAGCCTGCCACCACTGTCACTCCAACCCAAACTGCCACCCCTCTCAGTGGGCATGGCAACAGCTCCAGGGTGGCCAATGTGCTTCTGGTCTTGCCCTGTCCTCTGTTCACCATCCACTGCATGCTCAAGCTGATGAGTCTTTAAAGCTCAAATCAGATTGTGCCATCTGCTCCTAGAACTCAAAGACCGATTCCCACTGCTTTAGAATAACACTCTGTTGCTTTAGGACAACACATAAATCCCTACAAGGGTCCCTATGAGCTGTGCCCCTGCCCTCTGCTCCCTTCTACCATAAACCCACCCAATTTCTGATTTTTGCATGTACTGTGATCCCTTCCATCTTAGGCCCTCACGGATGATGCTCCCTCTGCTTAGCACATCCCTCTGCCCCCTTTCGTCACTTGGCCAAGTTCCACTCCATACCAGACATCAGCTGCAGAGACTCAACCTCCATAAGCCCCACCAGCAGCCTTGATTTCTTCTCAGACCCAGCACGGTCACATGCATATTCATTTGTCAAATCCTCTTCCCACTGGACTGCAGGCTCTGTGAGCTCAGGAGTCCCGCCTATCTTAGTTACCACTTTATTCATGGCCCGTACCATGTGCTAGAAGGCTCATGGTACAACAGGGATCCCAAAGGAATAAAAAATGAAGCACTTTATTTCTGAGCTCACTAAAGAATGCACTGCTATACCCCACCTGGGGGTTTCAGCAGCTCGGACTCAGGAACACTTGGGGGATATAGATGTTCTTGGTCTGGCCAGAGTGGTGGCACAATCCTTCCCCCATCCTCCCAGGAAGCCTGGAGTTCTCCCCCGACCAGGGCAGCGTCCTCCAAGACACCCTCACAGAGCTTCCACTGCACTCACCTTCCTCCTCAGATATCCAGGTCACATCCTCCACCAGGGCCACTGCCTTCTGGCAGTCCTCTGGGTGCTGCGACTCCACCCATGTCCGGAGCTTCCCAGGCAGTCCACTCAGGAACTGCTCCAGCACCAGCAGCTCCAGGATCTGCCCCTTGGAGTGAGCCTCGGGCTGTAGCCACTGATGACACAGCTCTCGAAGTTGGGCCAAGGCCTCCTGGGGACTCATTGTCTCCTCATAACGGAACTGCCGGAATCTCTGGTGAGCAGCCTCAGGATCAACCGTATACTTGTCCAGCTGTTGGGTTGGTTCTCCAAGGATGTCTGGACTCACGCCCCCACCTTCAGCATAAAGGGCCTCGATCTGGGCATTCCGAGGACCAGCCACCTCCTGGTTCAGTGTGAGGACCTCAACAACCTTGATCTTCATCAGGGGATTCTCAGCTGGAAGAGGATCCAATTGAGGTTCCAGCTGAGTCCCAAGACATTCTGTAAGTCAAAAGCAGAGAAACACAAATGGCCAATAAGCACATGAGAAAATTCTCAACATCATTACCTGCCAAGAAAATGCAGATCAAAACCACAATGAAATACCACTTCACACCCACTAGAATGGCTATTATCAAAGATAGATGTAACAAGTGAGGACGTGGAAAACTATAACTCTCATACACTGCTCATGGGAATACAGAATGTTGTACCACTCAATACAGTCTAGCAACTCTCCCAAAAGTTTAAACATAGAGTTACCATATGACACAGGAATCCCCCTTCTAGAAACATAGTCACGTGTTGCTTAATAACAGGGGATACATTTTGAGAAATGTGCCATTAGTTGATTCTGTCGCTGTGCAGTCATTATAGAGTGGACTTACACAAACCTAGACGGTACAGCGTACCACACACCCAGGCTGTATGGTATAGCCTATCGCTCCCAGCCAGCATTAGTACAAACACGTAACATGTTATGCTACGATGCTACAATAGCTATGACATCACTAGACAATAGAAATTTCTCAGCTCCATTATAACCTTATGTGGCCACATTCGTATGTGCAGTCCATCACTGACAGAAACATACAGCGCATGTCTGTATGTCTAAAAGAATTGAAAGCATACGTCCACAAAAACTTGTATAAAAATGTTTATGTAGCATTATTCATAACAGCTAAAAAGCACAAATAATTCAAATATCCATCAACTGAGGAATGTATATACAAATTGTGGTTACCTATACAACAAAATATTATCCAGCAATAGAAAGGAATGAAGTACTAATACATTCTACAACATCTGAATCTTGAAAACATCATGCCAAATGAAGAAAGCCAGACACAAAAGAGTACACATTAGTACACTTATATTAAATGTTCAGAATCCATAGAGACAGAAAGTAGATTAGTGGTTGCCAGGAGATGGAGAAATTGAGGGAATTGGGGGGTGATGGCTGATGGGTATGGGATTTGTTTGTGGGGTGATGAAAATGTTCTGGGATTAGATAGTGATGATAGCTGCACAACCTTGCAAATATATTGAAAACCACCGAATTATACCCTTGAAGAATATGAGTTCTATGGTACATGAATTATGCCTCCATATAAGTGTTTAAAAAAAAAAGAGCAAGAGACAATGAAGGTTGAGAAGGAATCTGTGACACTGCATATGCACAGGCAGCCATAAGGGGAAAAGAGCCCATTCCCACCTCCATAGGAGCCAAGAACAAGGATGTCTGGGAAAGGTGGTTCTGGATCCTGGCACAGAATCCATAAGAGCACATCTGCTGAACTAAACTCCAGGACGGCCTTGAAATGCTAAAGAGGGAGTACGAAGCAATAGGAAACAAGAAAGCTCTCTAAAATCCCAAGGGAAAAAAATGCTAATCCTAAATGACAACTGAGAATTTAAAAAGTAAATAGAAAAACATAAATAACCACGTTATTACTTCTGATTATATTTGCAATGTTTAATGACATGGCCGATGTCAACAGCAAACCTACACTTTCACCTTACTGTTATGAGTGTAATTGGTTAGTAAAATTCTACCTGGAAAGGTTGTCAGCATAGCAGCAAGAAGAAAAAAATTCTACCTGGAAAGGAAATCAGTATGAACTTGAAGCCCCAGCAACTAATGCCCCCATGCTTCCACCCAGTTAATCTACTCCTGGTGAGGGAACTATGCAGAGATGAAGACAGATATTAATACAATGAATATATAGACAATGGCCAGACCAAATATATAATAGAACTTTGACACACTACATCTGTGGCAACAAGCCCAAAAGGTCAGGACTTGGTTAATGATTGCCAGTGTCCTTTTTTATTGGCCACCTCCCAGCCAATAACCTCCAGTCAGAACCTTCCCTTATAAATGTATAAATCTCCCCACTCACTAATTGCCTCTAAGTCTTTACAAAACACAAAGGGTAGTATCTAACTCCCTTGCTATAGCCAGCTCTAAGTAAACCTCCACCTGTCCTTATTTGGGTGGTCTTTATTTCCACAATATACAATCCCTGAACAACGTGGTGTATGTTGGCACAGTACCGGAAATACAAGAAGTGTTAGAAACACAGTTCAAAAAAGTTGTGAAGAACTCTGATGTAAGCAGTAAAACCTGTATTTGTTTTAGTGTGATTATTACAACGTAGAAAAGTTCCTGCCACGTAAAGAAATAAGAAGCAGGGCAAACAATTACTAATGTTGAGTAACTGCAGCTGTATTAAAGAAAAAAAAAAATCAATAAAAAGCGCCAGCTGCTTGCACAACCAACGTATCTGGATTTTTCTCAGTGGTTGCATCCTTCCAAAAACCTGCTAAATTTGTCATTACTTGCACTTATTAAACAGCGCTCAGAGGCTGGACTTTCAGACACTGCGTTCCAGGGGTTAGGTTATGGCTGGGGTGGACGATTCCTCTCGTTAGCGCTTTCTCCGCATGCTTCGCTTTCCCTACCAGCGACAAGGCGGAAACAGTTCCAACTTCCCCATAGCCATGCCCTGGCCCCTCCGAGCCCCGGAAAGACGCAGGGACGACTTCCCGCCAGGTCCGGAAGTCCGTCACGCGCCCACCAAACTACATCTCCCAAGATCCTCCGCGGCGAGACTTCCGGCGGCGCCATGTTGAGGCCGTGTGGACGGCCCCAGCTTGGTACCGACGGCAGCCGCCACGCAAGTAGCTGGGCACTCAGTCCGGTTTCCTCCGCTCTCTCCCCCCCGTGGTGGTGGATACGTTCTGGGTCGCGTCAGGAAAGGGTGCGGCACAGGTGTAGCCCAAGCTGCAAGTCTCCTTGCAACACGCGGGGTGGGGAAAGCGCCGTCCTTAGCGCTTAGTCCAAAAGCCAAGAGCATTCGGATTCCTAATCCCTTTCGTCCCCCAGCTTCTAAATTCCTCCCCTACTCCCTTAGGATACTCCCGCACCCCCTTTCCTGTGTTAGTTACAAGGCTTGGCTCCTCTGCGGTTTCCTGTTTACAGACCTAACAGGTGTTGCAAACTGCTGGCGCCTGACTGGAGAAGTGAGTCAGCTCACAAGTGAGTCAGCTCGGGGTCAGGAGTGGCCCAGGGCCGGGTGAGGCCACGCTTGCAGCCCCAGGCAGACCAGGGGCACACTGGAGTTGCAAAATATAGCTGCTGTGTCACGCTTTTGATTCTCGGCCATTGCTAGTCACACTTTTTCTACGTTTAAAGTGATTTTTCTCCTTGATAAGATTGGGGGACGTTCGAGCACCTGTTTCCAACCTCTTTCCCCCCAAATAAGCTTTTGTATTATTTTCATTTTGGGGGCTTGCCCTCCCTAACTCATTTATATCTGCCCTTATCTATAATATTTAATTCTCTTCCTTTTTCTTAGGAATTCTGGGAGTTTGCTTTCCCTCCGATAATTTTTGACTTGAAAGCAGTTTGTTTATTTTCTTTCAGTTAAAGCTCTGAATGCTTGAAATTTTCCTGAGAATAACTCGGGAAGCTAGGGATGGGAATTTACTGGAGGCTCACCAGCACGGGACTGTGTCTAGGATGTGGGACGTGCACCAAGTGAGCCTTTACTTCCTGGGGGCTGACAGCTAACTATACTGAACCGTAGACACCATTTTAACTAATCGTGCATGACACAAAAATATTTCTCCATAGCTTCCTAATTTCTAAAATTCTTTTTGTGTTTCCTTGAGATTTTTATTTCATGCTCCCCCCTCGGAAAACAGCTGTTGGGTTATTTTTATTCTACCCCACCCCCATCCCACTTCTAATTTACTTCTCCTTTAAACTTGATCATGTATTTACTTCCTCCTCTTCTCCTTGGGGGCACCGAGATGCTTTCTCAGAGTCTCGCATTGAATGCTCACTCAAAAATGTTAACTTTCTGTTTTAAGCTTTAGAGCCTGTCTCTGAGTCTTGGGTTTGGACATCAGGGACTCTGTGGCTCAGTCATATAGGGCACCGAGAGCCCGGTAAAATCTGCAGTCCCCCAAATCCACCCCCCTGCAACCCGTCTGTCCCACACACGTTCTGTACATAGTTATAAAGCACCTACTGAGTGCTATGCAACCAAGGACACTGCAGTGAATGAGACTCACCACAAGCCCAGAAACCGATAGGGAAATGATTGTCCAAGTCATTCTATGCACTTCAGTCCTCTAAATCTCAACCCATGGACCACTCCCAAACCCTTTAAGGTAATCTTTACCACTGTTTGTTCTAGGAAATTATTTGCTCCACTTCAAGGAGGAGAAAATTTTAAGTTCACTAGTGGCCAGAGGTGGAACTGGATTCTCACACCACCCAGGCCACAGCTGTGCTTCGCCCACCCATGTGGCACTGCATAATAATCCCTATCGGCTGGGGATCCAAGTACAGGCTTTCACCTCAGCAGCTGAACTACCATGGGGCAGTGTGTCCCCTCACCTGCAACTCACTATTCTATCTCCCCGCTCTCACACCCTTTCTCCTCTCTTCCCATCACTCCCTTCTTAGTTCTGCTGAGCACCCGTTGGATTGCCTTCTAAGTCAGTCTCGACCACTGGACCACTGAGCCTTCCAACTAGGTCTTGTGCATTCAAAACCCCAAAGTAGGGCCTAGAGGAGGATATGCCAAAGACTGTTGACCATCTTTAAGTCAGTCCCCTCCCCCCTTTTTTTGGTAGCTGGCTGGTATGGATCCAAACCCTTGACCTTGGTGTTATCAGTACCACGCTCTCCCAGTGAGCTAACTGGCCAATCCAGTCTTTGAATCAATGACAGTAGCTACTATTCCATGAAGGACTCTCAAGACCTTGGGTTTTACAACACCACAGTCCCAGTGAGCATCCAACCTTTCCTTACACAAAAGAAATCCATACTGTGAGAGGGAGAGGCTAGGAACCCTGTCCAAAGCAAGGGTGGCTGAGGTCCCCACACTGGAGAACAAAGGAGCTAGATTCCAAACTCTTCTTTCATGCTCCTTACACCAAAGGGGGCTTCCCAAAGCCACCATCTTTTCCTTAGATATACCCTCACATCCAGAGATATTCACACTTGCCACCCTCCTGCCTGATAAGTCTTCCCCCAACATCTTCACCTAGTTCACCTTCCCCATCCAGCCCTCAGCTCAAATGTCACCTCCTCAGAGCCACCTAGCTGCCAAGTTCTAAACTACTGCTGCCCACTCACATCTCCCCAGTCCCTCTAGTTAGAAACACTCACTTGCCGAAGGCAGTAGTAAGATGCAGTTGGTCAATCTGTGCTAAAAATGTTAATTTTCACATTTCCCCTAGGACCAATTTTGGAAATATAAAAACCTTTCCAGAAATCTCTCATTTTCTTTGTAGCGATGATTGCCATCTCCAAGTATCTGGTTCATTAATTTACTTATCACCTCTCTCACCCTCTCTAGAGTAGTACTGTCCAGTGGAACTTCCTGTGAATGAAATGTTCTAGATCTGCACTGTCCAACTTAGCACTAGCTGCAGGTGGCCAATGAGCATTTGAAAGGCGGCCAGTGCAACTGAGAAATTGAACGGGTAAATTCATATTTGATTTCATCAGCCACACATGCTAATGGCTGCTTCAAATGAATGTAGGCCCAACAAGAGCAGGGGCCTTACTGCCCTGTTCATTGCTGTGATGCAGCCCTAGTATCTGGCATCATGGCAGGTGCGTAAGCAATAACTCAACACAGCTTCTAAGTGACTTGGTGAAGGAAGATTTCTTCATCAAGACATTTGGGCCTTTTTAGCCTTCTGTCTGGACTTTCCCATATTTACCAAATTTGAGGAAATCTCATTGGCATTGTAATTGTATCCTGTCTATAAATTACCATGGGAGGATTGCTTCCACTACAAAGTTCCCAGCTCCCACTTGGGAGCCTGAGCAGTGGCTGGGAGTGCAGGCCGTGGGGTGAGAACACATGTGGTTTGTACCCCCACCTGCTTCTCTCCAGCCTGGTCCAGGTAAGGGACTCGCATTCCCGATCCCACTGGTAAAATGGCTCCAGCAGCATTTCTCCAGAGGCTGATGGCTGGGACTTAAAAAAGGGACTTATGTCTAGTCTTCCACATCCCAGCAACTGATAATTTTCTTCAAACAGGGCCTACTCATTCCTTGATAATTTAATCTTAGGTACCATTTTTTAAAAAGTAGTAATTAGAAATCTGTCCCCTTTACGAACACTCTTATTATTGTAACAGTATTCCAGAGGATTTTGTTTTTGTTTTTTAAAGATGGCTAATTGTTACAAGCTACAAATATTTCCTTCTTTTCATTATCATTCTCATTTTGTGCTTTGGTGAGAACAATGCTACATATAAGAAAGAACCTGTCAACATTCCAGCCTGTGTTCTGTTATTGAACCGTTCATGTACCATGAAAACAATCTATTAATAGGAAGTTCGAAACACTCACTGCCCAACGCTAAGATGCAGTTGGTCAATTTGTTCTAAAAAAGTAAATATTAACATTTCTCCTAGGACCAATTTGGACAACTTAAAACTTTTCCAAAAATCTTTTTATTTATTCATTCCTACACTCAACAAGTAATTACTGAGCACCTATGCTGTGTCAGGAACTGGACCAGACAGCAGTGACACAGCAGGAAGGAGACAGCAATTTCTACTTTGTGTGCACAGTTATGGGCAGCACCTCTAAAAATTAATATAAATTTCTGAAGGAACAGAAGGAACACATAGTGAAAACAAAGTCAACCTCCTACCCAGTTTCCCTCTCAGGAAGCAATCAACATCCTTCCAGTGATGATCAACTGACAACCATATTTATGTGCTCATGTATGAATGTTTTTAAGAAATACAGTTTATATATATCCTTATATATTGACACATATGTATTTTAAGAAATACACAGATTGTTTCATATCAGTACATAAAGAGCTGGCTCATTCT